CAAGTTGGGTTTCCCAGCTTGAATTAATCTTTGGGTCTGGTTAGTTTGCTAGAGTGACTCACAGGCCTCAGGGAAACACTTGAGTTTACCAGTTTATTGCAAAAGATATGAATGAAGAGATGGATGGGGCCAGGTGTAGGGAAAGGGGCGCAGAGCTTCCTTGCGCTGCCATGCCACCCCCCTCCAGGAACCCCCACATGCTCAGCTATCCAAAAGCTCCCCAAACCCTGTCCTCTTGGGGACAGAGGACTGAAGCATGGACAACCATCTACCGAAATGCGACTGGACAAACAGGGTGAGCTGATGCTAACAGACTGAGTGGGGAGGCCCAGCAAGCCTGTCTGTGCAGACCCTCGGTGGCCTCCCTGTGCAGCACTCCTTCCCCCAGCTATGGGGCAGGACCCTACTGAAGTGGGGGTCTTGTTACCTGCAATCAGACAAGGCAGGGCAGGAGATTTCTCTATGTCAGCTATAAGACAGAAAGGCAAGGGAAGATTCCTGCCTTGGGGAGAAAAAGCAGCAGCTGAAAGGAGGGCAAGAGAAGGTGAGAGAGAGATTCTATCTTCTGAGGCTGCTACTGAGGCCTAAGGCTCGCAGCGTAATTAGAAGAGCTATGGAAGTTATGGGCCAGGAACCACAGACGATAAACCTATCTATAGCTGTATACCTTAATATCACAGTTACCCTCAAAATTAGGTTCATAGTTTAGAACTATTATTTAAACTGGATTTATTATAGTGTTGTGGATTTTTTTGTATCATGATTTTTTTATTTTTTTGGAGGACAGAGTCTCACCTCTGTTGCCCAGGCTAGAGTGAGTGCTGTGGCGTCAGCCTACTCACAGCAACCTCCAAAGCTCCTGGGCTCAAGCAATCTACTGCCTCAGCCTCCTGAGGTCGGGTAGCTGATACAGGCATGCGCATCATGCCCAGCCAATTTTTTCTATATATTTTTACTTGGCCAATTAATTCCTTTCTATTTTTAGCAGAGACGAGGTCTCAGTCTTGCTCAGGCTGGTTTCGAACTCCTGACCTTGAGCGATCCTCCTGCCTCAGCCTCCCAGAGTGCCAGGATTATAGGCGTGAGCCACTGTGCCCGGCTTGTATCATGACTTTTAAGCTTTGTTCTTACTGCCTGTCCAATTTCTGTAAAGCCAGCTCTCCCAACAGGACGCGCGTAGGCTCAGCACCGTAAGATACATGACTGCTGACGCCTATGGAACTGGTTGGGTGCAGCTGATGCCCATTCCCACAGACCTGCCCTGAGAACATTTTCCCTTCTGGCTCTTGTTACTTGAATGTGGCCTGGGTCCCTGACATAGACCCATACCTTCCCCTGACGTGGGAACACGGACAACTGGACAGGTCCATTCCTGCACCGAGGGACAGTCAAGCCTAACTTCAAAGCAGTCGATCGCTTTGCTGGCAGAGAAGGTTCTTTAATCAAAAGAGAAATGTGAGCGTTGATCACAAGAACTAGGCCATGCTCGTCACCCACTAGCACAGAGTCAAGAAGCCAGAGGGGAAGCACTCGGGGCCACACACTGCTCCAAAGTGTTACGCTGCCCTGCGCGAGCCTCTGCCCAAGCTGCCTGCTGCGGGCCTGGAGTCAGTTGTGCCGGTGGTTACTGACACCGCTCGTTTAACCCACGGCCTCACAGAACCTCACTGTGCCCAGTGAACTTTCTCGTGGGGGGGAAATAACATTTCTCTCTTTATTAAACCTCCTTCTCGTTCTTACCATGCACGCCTGTCGTGCGTGCCCTGGATTGCAATTCTTCTTCCCAAATCAAACTGAAAGTTAGCAACTGCTCTTCACGTCTCTGATTTCGACACAAGAGCAGACACCACCCGTTATCTTCAGTAAGCATACTTCTCTTATCTAAACTGCGTCTCTTTCAACTCATCAGTTCTTTCTCCGGTACTAAGCTAGGAATTCAGAGAAGCCAGTGGACTCCACTGGGGAGAGCCACGCGGTGATGTGGCGGCGACAGCTGTGGATTGGCCACTGCCAGCAGAGTGGCCTCTGCTTCAGGAAGTTGTTTGCAATAGAGTATTTTTCAAAGTATTCTTTGATGACAATCTTGAGGTGGAAACAGACTAGAGGTTGCCAGGGAACAGGGTGGCTCTCAGGGGGCACAGGGAGATCTCAGTGACAATAGGACAGCTCTGTCCTGACAGGAATCTACATGCATGAAACATGCTTACAGACACCCCCCAGATGCGACTGAAACTGGCAGCGAGCCCGAGCCAGGTCTGCAGTCTAAGTGTGAGCACCTGTCCACCATGCCCGGTCACACTGGATGTTGCACTGGGGACACTGGGGAAGGTTCTACTGGACATTGGCTGAATCTGGCAACCTCTGTGAGTTCCATACTCATTTTCAAATGACAAAAGAAAGCATGTGGCACAGGGTCCAGTATACACGGCGATGCACAAAATTATATATTTCATGTTTAAAACTACCCTTTACCCCTTATAAGTCAGCTCTAGCAACTGCTGTTGACGTGCTGGATAAATCGAAGCAGAGAAGGGTCTTAATCAAAAGGAGAAAATGTGACCGTTGATCACAAGAACTAGGCCATGCTCGTCACACCAACTAGCACAGAGTCAAGAAGCCAGAGGGGAAGCACTCGGGGCACAGACACTGCTCCAAAGTGTTACGCTGCCCTGCACGAGCCTCTGCCCAAGCTGCCTGCTGCGTGGCCTGGAGTCAGTTGTGCCCGGTGGTTACTGACACCGCTCGTTTAACCCACGGGCCTCACAGAACCTCACTGCCGCCAGTGAACTTTCTCGTGGGGCGGGAAATAACATTTCTCTTCTTTATTAAACCTCCCTTCTCTTGTTCTTCAGACACGATGCAGCCCGCCTGGTCTGCGTGTGCCCTGGATTGCAATTCTTCTTCCCAAATCAAACATGAAAGTTAGCAACTGCTCTTCACGTCTCTGGATTTGACACAAGAGCAGACACCACCCGGTTATCTTCAGTAAGCACTACTGTCCTTCTTATCTAAACTGCCATCTCTTTCAACTCATCAGTTCTTTCTCCGGTAACTAAGCTAGGAATTCAGAGAAGCCAGTGGGGCTCCACTGGGGGAGAGCCACGCGGGATGTGGGGCGACCAGCTGTGGATGGCCACTGCCAGCCAGAGTGGCCTCTGCTTCAGGAAGGTTGTTTGGCAATAAGTATTTTCAAAGTATTCTTTGATGACAAATCTTGAGGTGGAGAACAGACTAGAGGTTGCCAGGGAACAGGGTGGCTCTCAGGGGCACAGGGAGATCTCAGTGACAATAGGACAGCTCTGTCCTGACAGGAATCTACACGCATGAAACCATGCTACAGACACCCCCCAATGCAGACTGAAAACTGGGGAGCCCCGAGCCAGGTCTGCAGTCTGAGAGTGTGGCACCCATTGTCACACCATGCCCCGGTCACACTGGATGTTGCCACTGGGGACACTGGGTGAAGGGTTCACGGGACTATTGGCTAATTCTGCAACCTCTGTGAGTCCATACTCATTTCAAAATGACAAAAGAAAGCATGTGGCACAGGAGTGCCAGTATACACGGCGATGCACCAAAATTGGTATATTTCATTGTTTAAAACTACCCCTTTACCCCTTGATGAAGTCAGCTCTTAGCAACCTGCTTTTACTGCGGTTAAAATCAAAACCAAGATCCAGATCCTAGCACTCTGGGAGGCTGAGGCAGGAGGATCGCCCAAGGTCACAACTTCGAAACCAGCCTGAGCAAGAGCTAGACCCCATCCCTACCAAAAATAGAAAGAAATTAATTGGCTAACTAAATATATATAGGAAAAAAAAATTAGCCGGGCATGGTGGCCCATGCCTATAGGCTCAGCTACTTGGGAGGCTGAGGCAGGAGGATCTCTTGAGCCCAGGAGATAGAGGTTGCTCTGAGCTAGGCTGATGCCACAGCACTCTAGCCTGGGCAACAGAGACTCTGTCTCAAAAAACAAAAAATCCCCAAAACCAAGATCCACCGGGGTCAACAGATGGGCTTCAGCATCCCAAGAAACTTAAACTGAATGCAAAACGGGGAAAGGGGGGGTGGCATTGTTCTGGGAAGGCACCCACAGCTTCCATGACATTTTCTTTTTTTTTTTTAAATGAACCTTCAAGTGCTAGATCCATGACATTTTCATTTTCTTTTCTTTTTATGAGACGGAGTCTCGCTCTGTCACTTAGGCTAGAGTGCCATAGTGTTGGCCTAGCTCATGTTAGCTCACAGCACCCTCAAACTTCTGGGCTCAGGCGATCCTCCTGCCTCAGCCTCCCAAGTTGCTGGGACTACAGGCATGCGCCACCACACCCTGCTAATTTTTCTATTTTTAGTAGAGATGGGGTCTCGCTCTTGCTCAGGGTGGTCTTGAACTCCTGACCTTGAGCGATCCTCCCACCTCAGCCTCCCAGAGTGCTAGGATTACAGGTGTGAGCCACCACACCTGGCCTAAAAACAAACCCCCCCCCCAGCGCTCTCCCAGCTCCTTCCTCTAGGAAACCCCAGCATTCTTGGCCCTGCATTGCCAGGTGTCACGGACTTGACACCAGCTCTGCTCCGACAGTGGGAGTCGTGGGAGCAAGGCAGGGCCAGGGCTCTGTCCACCAAGGACACATTGCAAATTATGCTCGGTGCTCAGAAGGAAAGAACTGTGGAGCAGAAAAGCGTGTAGCCACTTTCCTGGCGCTTTCTTTCCTGTGAGCAGAGAGGTCTGGACTACAAGGGGTTGTGTGCGAAAGGGACTCACAGCTCTAACCCACGATCTTCCAAAGATGGGGTTGGAGCGGCTGCTAGCACCCCACGCGGGTCACTGAATCCCTTTTATAGTTAAGTGGCCAAATGTGCCCATTCACTGTCCCAGGCTCTGACAGATAAACAATGCTCTTACTCAGTTACCAAAGAGGAATTAAAGCCTGTTTCTCAAGTCACCATGAGAAAGCAGAAAATAGCGGAAGTTACTTCCCTAGTGCTAACACACTCACGTCCATGGAGCACTTGGTGACTTTCCTGAAAATCCTATCTGTTCACAGCAACAAGGCGCATCTACCCCGAACTGCAGAGAACAGAAGAACGAAGGCTTAACGGTATAATAATCCTCCTCTATACTTCTCTGTATTTCCCAAGATCTCGCCAAGGAAACGATCCGAGCTCAGGAAAATCCAAACTGTAACAGCGCAGCAACCCTTTGGACTGCGCAGCTGGTTTCTTCCCACGGGCGACGTCCAGCCGGGCCAGGCACCTAGTCGCCGTGGTCCCCGGCCCGCGGTGGCCGTCCCGCGGGGCGGGCGGCTTCAAGAGCAGGCGGCGGCCTGCCTCCCTCGCTCGTGTCGGGCCAGGGCCGGCTCCGGTCCGCGCTCCGCACTCGACGCCAGCGCAACAGGCTCCCACCCGGGACACCGCAAGCACGCCCCGCGCACGCCGGCTCCGAGCCGCAGCCGACCTCGCCCGAGCTCGCAGGCCGCGCCCGCGCCCTCTGCCCTGGCGCACCGGCTGCCAGCAGCGCGGCCGGCGCGGGGCCCTGGCGCGGCGCTCGGACGGCGCCGCAGCCCCGTCGGAGCCGGCCGTCGCCCGCAGCCCCGACCCCGCACGCCGCCCCGGGCACGCCGCCCGCTCCGCGTCCCGGAACTGGGGCGCCCGGGCCGGCCGAGGGCGCATGCGCCGTGGAGCGGCTCCCCGCGGGCCTCACCGTGGAAGTCGCCGGTGTCGGCCACCACGGTGGTGAACTGCTTCAGCTGGTCCAGCGCGGACTCCATCCTCTGGCGCTTCACCGGGGAGCCTGACATGGCGAGGCCCGGGCGGCGGCGACGGCGGCGACGGCGGCGGCGGCGGGGGTTCGGGCGGCCCACAATGCCCCGCGGGCGCCGGCCAATCGGAGCGCGTCGCGGGAGGGCGAATCCGACCGGCCCAGCGTGCCAGGCCCCGCCCCGCCCCAGGCAAAGCCCCGCCCCCGAGTCGAAGCCCCGCCCCCGAGCCGCGGCGGCTCCGCGGGCTGGACCTGGCCGGGTCTCGCCGCGAGCGGAGCTGCGGGCCGGCCGGGGCGTCGAATCCTGGGCTCCATGCGGCCCGCCGGGCCCCTGCGGCCTCGTCCTGGGCTGCGCCCGCGTCCCGCACGCTAAGCCCGGGACTGGAACCGCATGCAGGCTGGCAGGGTCGCCACCTCTGCGGCCGGCGGCCCTGCCACACCTGGGGGCGCGGTGCGCTCTTGCAGCGGAGAGGTGACCCCAGTCCCTTGCCCTGTGGTGCGTCCCGGGAGAGTGCGCGGGTCCTCCCGCAGTGCGCCTCTCCCTCATCTGCACTCTCCTCCCCCCAGCGGCGCTCGGTCTCCTCCAGGTGCGCCCCCGGAGAGGTGACCCCAGTCCCTTGCCCTGTGGTGCGTCCCGGGAGAGTGCGCCGGTGCCCCCGCAGTGCGCCCCTTCCCCATTGGCACTCCCCTCCCCCCAGCGGCGCTCGGTCTCCTCCAGGTGAGCCCCCGGAGAGGTGGGAGACTCCAGAGGGCTGGGCGGCCTTGTGTGGCGGTGCGCTGGACACCCCCACCTGTGTGCAGCAGGGGCTAGCGCCACCCACCCAGGGGCCCTGACGGCGCCCGAAACAGCTCCTCTTTCCTGTCCTCCCTTCCCTCAGTGGCCCGCAGTCCTCAGCCCACTGGAGGTCTGTGTGGGGTGGCAGGTGACTGACAAAGGTGCGTGTCGCAGGCAGCTCCACTGTGCGCACGGGAGCCGAGGCACCGGGTCAGGCAGTGGGCAGGGGGCTGCGCTCCAGGGGCCCAAGCTCAGTCCCGGTCGGAAACACCCCGCTGGGGCTGGGTTCCAGAAGCTGGTGTCCGTGCGCTTAGTTAGTACCTCACCCTCGCACTGGCTCAGGGGACCGCCCGAGGGTTCCTCCTTCTCTAAATCTTGCACCAACGTCTGTGAAGCCCCCTGAGCCTCCTGGGGGCCGAGGCTGCGGTTCCCTTTGCTGCTGCTGACACACCTGTGTGACAGAAGGCAGGTGCCCCCCGCCATCTGCAAGCCGAAACCGGCCAGGGCAGAGAGCTCCCTCCATCCTCGACGTGGTTACAGGGCTTTACAGGCGTGCCGCTGACAAAGTCACTCACCCGGCACTGTCCCAGGGGACGCCCTGACCACCTCACCTGGACGGACAGGGAACTCTGGCTGGCCCGGCCCCTGCTATGGGTCTGAGCGCCCTGTGCGAGGGTCCGCAGTGCTGGGGCGGGGACCAGCTCATCCTGCCCCAGCAGGACTCTACAGAGTCCCGGGCGGCGGCTTCTGGAGCCCGCAGAGGAGTGTTTCCTCGTCCTGCCCCAGGATCTCAGGCCTCAGGAAAGGGAGGTGCCCAGGGCCCAGAAGGAGCAGATTTGTCACTGACATTTCCAAATGCTGTTTTCTTGCAAGCAGAGGCGGTAGCCTTCAAAGACCAGGTCTGGAATGTAAGTTTTGAGGAAGGAGGTGAAGCCACAGCCTCAGGGGCCCAGGAGGGAGAGCAGCCTGGGGGAAGGAGGGGCCTGGGGAGGACACCTGGGCGCCTGCAGCAAACCAGGCAGCTCCGCTGTGCAGGAAGCACTCGGGTTTGGAGAAATGAACCCTTGTGAACTGTTGGTGGGAGTGAAAAATGTAGCAGCCTCTGTGGAAAACAATCAAAAATCTAAAAGCGCCTCATAAAGTTGAACATAGAATTACCATGTAATTCAACGATTGCAGTTGTGGAATTTTATCCTCAAAAGATATGGGTTCTGGCTGGGTGTGGTGGCTCACGCCTGTAGTCCCAGCTACTCGGGAGGCTGAGGCAGGAGGGTCGCTGGAGCCCAGGAGTTTGAGGTTGCAGTGAGCTGAGCTGACGCCACGGCACTCTACCCAGGGAAACGGAGTGAGACTCTGTCTCAAAAAAAAAAAAAAAAAAGATATGGGTTCTTCAAAAGAACTAAGAGCAGGGACTCAGAGAGATTTGCACACCATGTTCTCAGCAGCAGCATTATTCACAATAGCTACACGGTGGAAGCAGCCCAAGTGTCTATCAACAGATGAATGGACAAAGAAAACGTGGTCTGTCCACACAATGAAATATTATTCAGCCTTAAAAAGGAAGGAAATTCTGACACATGCTACAATGTGGGTCGACTCTGAAGACATTTGAAGACATTGTGCTCAGTGAATTAAGCCAGTCACCAAAGAACAAATGCTGTGATTCCACTTACATGGGGTCCCTAGAACCGCCAGATTCACAGAAAATGGAATGGCGGGGGCCGGGGGCTGGGGAGGGCAGGGGGGTCAGTGTTTAATGGGGTCAGAGTTTCAGCTGGGGAGATGGAAAATTTCTGGAGATGGTTGCAAAACATTACGAGTGTACTTAATCCCTGTGATATTATGACATAGGTGTATATATATGCTTATTAGTATATATTATCTATCTATCTATCTATCTATCTATCTATCTATCTGTCTATCTATATAAATGTTTTCATCCACAGTTCCTAGCTTGTGACTCCCATAGCCCTTGCTACAGTCATCTGTTACAATGTTGGGGGGGATTTAGGCCTCAGAAGCAAAAGTTCTTCTCTGACTTTCTCCTGCCCTCCCGCCCCTCATTCTCCCTCGTGGCCAAAGAAACTAGAATCCCTCCTCCCCAAGGCTGGTCATGGGAGCCAGAACCTCTTTCCCCAAAGGCAGCCATAAAAGCGGTGTATTAAATATATTACTCTATCCTAGCTCTCTGGGAAGCTGATGTGGGCGGGTCGTTTGGGCTCAGGAGTTCAAGACCAGCCTGAGCAAAAGCGAGGCCCCCGTCTCTACTATAAATAGGAACAAATTAATTGGCCAACTAATATATATAGAAAAACTTAGCCGGGCATGGTGGCGCATGCCTGTAGTCCCAGCTACTCGGGAGGCTGAGGCAGCAGGATTGCTTGAGCCCAGGAGTTTGAGGTTGCTGTGAGCTAGGCTGACGCCACGGCACTCACTCTAGCCTGGGCAACAAAGCGAGACTCTGTCTCAAAAAAAAAAAATTAAAAAAATAAACATATTACTCTAACTTTCCCCTTCCACTCTGTATGAAAACTGGCCATAAGGAAATTCTCTGCCCCACCTTGTCTGAGTGCCGGTCACAAGACCCCCCCACTGCAGCAGGGGCCTGCCCTACACCCCAGGGACGGACAGGCCCTGCGGGGCTCCCCACTCGGGCTGTCGGCACCAGCTCCACCCACTTGTCCGGCCACATGTCAACGGTTGTCAACCCCATCCAGTGAAGTCTCCACAAAGGGCTGAAGAGGACGTGGTTTGGGGAACTTCTAGACACCAAGACAGGTGGAGGCAGGCAGGAGGGTGAACAGGAACTCAGCCACCTGCCGGGAGGGTGCGCACCCCAACTCCCCAGGGACGGGAGTGCCTGTGCCTGGGACCCTTCCAGACCTAAGCCTGGTAACTCTTCCTCCGGCAGTTAATTTGTATCATGTAAAATATCCTTCGCAATGAACTGGTAAATGTCAGTGTCTCCCTGAGTTCTGTGAGCCGCTACAGCAAAGTAACTGAACCCAAAGCCTGGGTCACGGGGCCCCTACCTTGAAGCCAGTTGGTCCTAGACTTGCAAGCCAGGAACCCTTTTGAGGACCGAGCCTTCAACCTGGTAACCTGATGCTGTCTCCCGGCAGAGAAAGTCAGAACTGAATTGGAGACAGTCAGCTGGTGTCAGCGCAGAAGTGCAGCCCGGTGTGTGGGGACAAACCCCCACATTTGGTCACAGACTTCCTCTGTGTTCATTGTTGCTGTGGTGTGAGGACAGAGGGAAACACAATTTGAGGTTTCCACTTTTGCTACGCCACTGAGCTGTACGATTAAAAATGGCTAAGAGGGGCTGGGCACGGTGGCTCACGCCTGTCATCCCCGCACTCTGGGAGGCTGAGGAGGGTGGATTGCTCAAGGTCAGGGGTCCGAAACCAGCTTGAGCAAGAGCGAGACCCCGTCTCTACTAAAAATAGAAAGAAATTAATTGGCCAACTAAAAATATATAGAGGCTGGGCGAGGTGGCTCACGCCTATAATCCTAGCACTCTGCGAGGCCGAGGCGGGCAGATTGCTCAGGTCAGGAGGTCGAAACCAGCCTGAGCAAGAGTGAGACCCCATCTCTACTATAAATAGAAAGAAAATAATTGGCTAACTAACATATATAGAAAAAATTAGCCGGGCATGGTGGTGCATGTCTGTAGTCCCAGCTACTTGGGAGGCTGAGGCGGAAGGATCTCTTGAGCCCAGGAGTTTGAGGTTGCTGTGAGCAATTTACCACTGACAGTGACCCAGGATCCCCCAAGGCTGTGCCCAGGCTGGTGGCCCCC